AGTTTGAAAAGTAATAACCATTATGACTGGCTAAGCTTGAAAAGTCTGAAAATCTCAGTAAAGTTATTCATTTTAAGACATTAATTAGATATTTTTGTCTAACTTTATTGCCGTCTGCTAAAGATTATTTTGAAGTTCAAAACAAAGCGAGATTTAATTAATGCATTAAAAACTAATACAAATTGATAATCAATTAATATTTACTTATATATATATGAGTGCTTCCCATTAAAATGTTGTCTGTAAAATTATGTACTGAACGATGAACAAAACTATTGCTAGTGATTGAAATATTTATGAAACAAATGAGTAAACAATAAAAATGTGCTATAATTTCTTCATTCACTTTTAGTGGACAATTTAACAAATATGTTAGAATATATATTTAGATGTAATCGGTTCCAGCTCTTTGGAACCAAACCGAACCGGTGCCATCACTAAAATCGAGTACAAATAAGGAACATAAAACGATACAACAGAAAAGAGAAGCGCCCTTAAAAAGACTCTACACTTTTTCATAAAATGATCGCATAAAATATCGATCTTTATATCCCTTTGATAAACAGGTTTTGAAAAGAATATTTTTGTTTTAGTCGAAAGAAAATTTTCTTCTTTCGAACGGTATCTCGTTGATACTTGCCACCCATTGATAAATGGAGTAAAACGAGAAAACGAAGAAGCACTCATGCAATAAATGTGTAACTTTTATGTGAATTCGCCCAAAACATGTTGTAGATAATAGTTACTTATAACAAACTGTCGGTTCATAAAATATTGTTATCGATATCATGAAAGACAAAGTAAGCACTATTTTACAAGATCTTTTTAATAAGTCCACCGAAATCGAATTACTTACTATCTAACAAGATGTTTTTGACTATTTCATGTAAAAGTTACGAATTTATTTGCGAGTATTTCTCTTTTCTTCTTCTGTTATTTCATTTATGAGTGTGTGACAGATATAGATCGTCCATTGTTCGAAGGAGGAGAAAATTTCCGATCAACTGATTAAAAAAAAAATACTCTTTTCAGAATCTATTTATCGAGTAGATATAAGGATCAGCATTTTACGACGTTTTTCTGAATCTCATAAAAAGTCCGGATGCTTTTTAAGAGTGCTCTCATTCCAGTTGCGTTGTTTTGTCTGTGAACATGTTATAAAAGTATGTTATATATGATTTGAAAGAAGAGAAAAAGCTCTATCTTTTGATAAAATAGGTTTTCTTCCAACACCCTTTTATTGAAGAGAAATAGGGATCGACATTTGTACCATTACTTTTGCATTGTACGTTTTTTTACAGAATAAAATCTAAAGAAATATTTTTTTTTTCGTAAAAACTTTCTTTATGCTTCTTAATCGACATCACATATGCAGTAAAAAAAATTAAAAAACAATATTTGATTTCCATTGATTTGATATCAAAAACACGAAAAAAAAATGATGTTTTGGATAGAGATGGTAGTTTATTTTATTTTACCGATAAATAGTAAATATTAAATAAATTTTGTTCGAATTATTGATAAATATTGAAGTTAGTATAATAAGAACCGTTAGTATAGAACTTCAAGCCATATTATAGTCTATATTAGGTACTTGATTTCATTAGTAGAACTCACGATAATAAGTAATGTGTTGGTTATCAACTGAGCTTTTTATTTTTACTCAGTTGAGAAATGATTTTATGGCTTAGATATAAATTTTGATTGAATTCCATCTCATCAACTTGAACTATAGATTGAAGCTAATACTATGATTCTACTAAAATTGATCCTGTTTTGATTATATATACATCAAATTAAATGTAGTTCATGGGTTACAAATGACCGATGAAGTTGTTCCAATATTTGTTCCAGTTAGTTCTATTCTGTGCAGTAGTTTTTTTTTTGCAAAGAATTCTTGCATAGTCTTTTTTTATCTAATACTCGTTTTAATACTAATTATAACAATCAAGTGAAAAAAAATGTTGCACATGTGTTCACCAACAAATACTTTCTCCACAGAAAATAATTATTTTAAGTATTCCTAAACAATAGCATGAATACTATAATGTGATTGATGCAAATTTAAGAAAGAAGTATTTTTTTTCTCATCTATTAGGAAAAGTGTCTATATTACTTAACATCCTTATTCATTAACATAATGTGCGTAATCAAAAAAGACTTCCACTAAGACACTCATTAAAGGCAACAGATGTAATTTTCCTAGTCGAGTTTTTATTCCTGAGAAAGAAAGTCGACTAGAAAAGTGATTGAAATTGAAAATAGTATTTCTACCTGTCAATTTCTTTCTTATGAATTTAATGGTAACAAATGTTAAGAGGTGTTTACATTACATGACTTTCTTGATCAAGAAGTCCATTCCAATAAAAAAAAAGAAGTTTGATTCGAGAGGTATATAATTAAAAGAGAGTTGATTTTGATGAAATCATAGTGTTGGCTTCAATCTAGATTTGAAATCGATGAGATAGAACTGAATTTAAATCTGAATATGATTTCTTATTCAACTTCATGTTAAAATTCTTGCCTCCAGATTACAAACAGTATCTTTGTCAATCTTTTTCTTCTCTAGCTATGTCAAAGTAGATTTTCAGATGAATTTCTATAGGTGACACACTCCAAACTGTTCGAATAAATTCTGCTGATACGAATCCAAAGATGAGCTGAATTTAGCAGTGTTATTCCTATGTAACAATTATAGTTTAATCCCAATCGTTGGATTCTCATAAAAGTGTTGTCTATCTTACAAGAAGTAGGTAAAAACTTGGGGACAACTGTGTGTACGCTATCAGTATGTGTCGATTATGAGAAAGTATACGATAGGATTCAGCACATCGCGTTACTATTTAAATAGTTTCTTGGTGAAATACTGATCGTCCTCTTAAAAGTCTTGTACATCCGATTTACTACACGAAGAATGTTTGTTCGCTTCAATGACATGAAAATCAAAGAGTTTCAAATTTCTATCACGCTTCCACATGAAAGTAACCTTTATCTGTACTCATTCATAGTGTA